ACTTTTAATTTATATTATAGCAACATTAGAGAAACCCAAAATAAAACAAAGAGGCAATGTCCTCCACGGCGGTACGTATCTCCTTCTTGCTCCGTCAGAGCTGCTGCCACGGCAATTTCATCGATCTTGGAGGTAATCCGGTGAATGCAAGTCTCCCGGTTTCTTAAACGCGGCCGCAGCTGCTCACTTGAACTGCTGATTGGACTTACCGGATGGAAATTCTCGTTTCTCGGAGAGGAGGAAGAAACGGGAATAACTGGAGTCACCTTTCTACCACGAAATCGCTTTGAGTAATTTGCCTTTGATATGTTCGACGAAATTCCTTTACCAAATTCTCCTCTGAATCACCTACTAGGAGAAGGCGACTTGAGGGTTCTGCTCGGCAGAGATGGATACCCAGGATTAAGCATCTCAGGCATTTTAGTAGTATATTAATCTGAAATTAATTATAATGAAATTAAGTGCCTTAAAATTTTAAATTTTAATGTCACTTAAAGTAAATTTAGTTTATTTATTTAATTAATTTCTTTAATTAGTTTATTTAAATGATTTAATTTTAATTATTCAAATAAAATTAAAATTAATTAATTTTAATATATAATTAATTTACTATCTTTATAAGATAATATTTAATTTTTATTATTATATTATTTAAATTAATTAATACTTAACTAATTAATAACCATTTATGAAACTCCAAAACAAACAATGTCTAATATTTTAAAGTGTGACATTCCAAGCATGAGGACAGTTTCATTCCACCTGAAAACAATAGAAACCGACAGACATCCAATACAATTAAAATATAATCAATGTTTACACATACAAATTAAATCAAAATATTTGATTTTTTTAATAATCTAATCATAAATCTTTTATAAAATTAGATCTCAAAGGGGTGCTTGGCACGATTCTTTTGTGTTTTTAAAATTTTGTTTATTAATTATAAAATTTTCTTATAACAATTAATTATAATATATTTTAATTTTTTTTTTGATAATTAGACATTTTAATTTATTAATTTATAAAAAAAATTTTGAATAACAGATATGAACAAATATTTAAGTGTATCAATTTAATCAATTTAATTTTAAAAAATAAGACAA